TGTCCTTTCAACGCAGTTCTGGGTTCGAACTGGATGTCATACTCACTTAGCTCCATTGCCCACTTCATCAGGAGTCTAGAAGCTTCTGGCTTATGGAAGATGTTTTTTAGGGTCAAGTTAATGAGCACCACAACAGTATGGGCTTGGAAGTATGGTCTAAGCCGTCGGGCCGAGGTGACTAGAGCGAGAGCCAACGTTTCCATTTGAGGGTATCTGGTTTCGGCTTCGGTCATAGCCTTGCTTGTGTAGTAGACTGAGCTTTATCGCGTTTCCTCTTGCCTGATTAGAGCCGAGCTGATGGCGCTGTCAGACACTGCTAAGTACAACTGGAGCTTGTCCCCTGACAGGGGCTTGGCGAGCAGAGGTGCCGAGCAGAGGTAGCCCTTCAACTGCTGAAATGCTTGTTCGCACTCCGTTGTCCATTCAAACAAACCTTTCTTTCGTTGGATTTTGAAGAAAGGAAGGCACTTATCTGTCGACCTTGAAACAAACCGGTTCAGGGCTGCGATCCTGCCATTGAGGCACTGAAGCTGCTTCAGCGTCTTAGGTGCTCCCATCTCGAGCACGACTTTAATCTTTTCGGGGTTGGCCTCGATCCCCCGGTTGTTCACCATGAAGCCAAGGAATTTTCCCGAAGAGACTCTAAAGGCACATTTTGCTGGGTTGAGCTTCATTTGATATGTCCTCAGAACCTCGAAGGCTTCGGTCAAATCAGAAAGATGCGACTTAGACTGCTTACTCTTGACAAGCATGTCGTCCACATACACTTCCATATTCCAGCCGATCTGTTTGGCGAATATTTTGTTCACCATTCTCTGGTAGGTCGCTCCTGCGTTCTTTAAACCGAAGGGCATGACCTTGTAACAATACAGACCTTGGTCTGTTATGAATGCGGTATGATCTTGATCTGGGACATGCATCTTGATTTGGTTGTACCCAGAGTAGGCATCCATGAAGGTGAGCAGTTCGTGCCCGGTTGTGGCGTGCACAAGCTGATCGATCCTTGGCAGTGGGAAGCAATCTTTCGGGCATGCCTTGTTTAGGTTCGTAAAGTCTACGCACATTCTCCACTTTCCGTTAGATTTTTTAACTAATACAACATTGGAGAGCCACTCGGGATACGAAATTTCTCTTATGTATTCAGCTTTCAAAAGTTTGTTAACTTCCTCAACAATTACATCACTCCTCTCCTTGTTTATAGGTCTTCGTTTTTGTTTTACAGGTGGGAATGACGGATCTATGCTGAGGCGATGCGTCATAATCTTCGGGTCGATGCCATGCATGTCCTCGTGAGACCATGCAAAGACGTCCGAGTTGGATCTGAGGAAGTGGATTAGCTCCTCTCTGTCGGTGGCCCCCAGCTTAGTTCCTATGCTTACCTGTTTCTCGAGACTAAGCAGAGGAACAAGCTCGAGCTCCTCAGTGGGTGCGGAAAACTCCCTTCTCGGCAGGTCGGCCTTGAACTCGAGCGTCTCATTCCCACTGGCGTGAGCTTCGAGGGCGCATACCGATGACCCTTTGAGTGCGGAGGCATAGCACTCCCTCGAAGCGGTCTGTTCTCCTCGGACTGTGCCCACGCCATTGGGGGTGGAATACTTCAAAACTTGATGAAGTGTTGAGGGAACGACCCGAAATGAGTGGATGATGGGTCTCCCAAAGATGGCGTTATAGGCCGATCTACCATCAATCACCACGAACTCGGCCATTTGGGTGACCTGTGTTTTGTCTTGCCCAAACGTGACCGGCAAGTCGATGCAACCCTCTGGGATGACCGATTCTCCAGAGAACCCAACTAGCGGTGTCCGGTTTTTCTTCAGTTGTGACCTTGTCCATCCCAGGGCGAGGTATGTTGGTA